CCTAAATTTTCCAAATTGTCACTTTCTTATAACTTTCTCACTAATCTCATTGGGCTTCTTCTGTCTTCTAAAAAGAATATAAAATGGATTCTTCATTCTTTTTCCTCAGTATAGCCCATTGTGACTCCATAGTACTCACTAGAACAAGCTGGTTTCTTTGAAAGAATGACAATGCTCAATCTTTTATTGTTTAGTTTGTAGTAACATGAGTAATACATAAATATGCTCCCTGTAAAAATTCAACCTTTCAGATAAGAGAGTCGCCTTTCACCAACATTTAAAATGATAAATATCTCCCCTGTCTCTTTCTGTGATATATGCTGAGTTTTTACTGTACATTTACATGCATGGAAATGCACCCACAGAAAAGACACAGAACCAGTTTGAGTGTAAGGGTGTACATTTTTAATAAATGACATCATTCTTCACATAATGCTTTAAAACTTGACTTTTTTAGTAAGAAAAAGATTCTTGGGGGCCGGGCATGGTGACTCACACCTATAATCCCAGTACTTTGGGAGGCCGAGGCGGATGGATCACGAGATCAAGAGATCAAGACCATCCTGGTCAACATGGTGAAACCCCATCTCTACTAAAAATACAAAAATTAGCTGGGCATGGCAGTGCACGCCTGTAGTCCCAGCTACTCAGGAGGCTGAGGCAGGAGAATTGCTTGAACCCAGGCAGCGGAGGTTGCAGTGAGCCGAGATCGCACCATTGCACTCCAGCCTGGGTAACAAGAGTGAAACTCCGTCTCAAAAAAAAAAAAAAAAGAAAAAAATTCTTGGGGAAAAGTCTATATTACTATGTGCAGACTTAACTCATTTTTAAAGATGCTGTATATATTCCATGCTGTGGATATAGCCCAGTTTATTGATCCATCTGCCTACTAGTGGAATTGTTTCTAATGTTCTTCTTATAAATAATGCTGCATTCATTCCTTCCTAGCTCTGTATGAGCTTTCCTTATAATAGTTCCTTTTTTTGTTTATCTCTCCTGGTTGGATAATCTTCTTAAAATGCTGGGAACCTATGAAATGTAATAGCTAATTTTGTGCAATGACCAGTAATATCCTGTAAATTAGCCTCCAAATTGCCCAAACCGTTTCCTTTGGTGAATTCTCAAGCTTCATTACTACTTGTGATTTAGTCAAAAAGGCCTAGTTGGCGCTGCTGGGACCCTGTCTGTAACATTTGGAATAAGTTTTCTTTATTCTCCTGCCTGCCTATCCTCAGAGCAGCCTTTGTTCCTTGGCACAATGGGAGCACAGCAGAGTGAGAATGCTCTTTCACAGACTACGTCCATGACTTTCTTTCCTACTGTCTACTAGAGTTTTGTCCAGTATATGATGGGGGAAGACTTTATTTGGGATGACAAAGAAGGGATACAGATCTCTTCTCTTGAGATCTGTTATTATAACCAGTCATTTGTGATCTTATAACCTGGAAAAGTCCCTGAAGACTAATAAGAGGTAGTTAAGTTTCAGTCACAGTTGAGTGATTTACCCGTTAAGTATTTCTTAATAGCCCAGAAAGGAGTCATAAGTATGATCAGGATTTTATTGATAGGATCATTTATTTCTGTGGCAAGGTAAAATTATCCTGGTATGAAGTACAGGAAAACAAAAAGCCTTTTTCTTTAGGTCTTTAACAAAAGAGCAGGCACAGAATGTCTAGAGCAGGGCGACTGCTGTTGGAATCAGAAGAATGCAAAAATCCAAGTAAGGGTACAGCACTTCACTGTGTTTTCAGTGTTGATCTTGCAAAGTGAACACTTTGTGTCACTGAGTTAGCTGCCCTTGTTATAATAGAGATGTTTTGTTTTCGAACATAAGTGTTAAAGGTCTCTTGAATATATCACCAATAATTCTACGCAGTCACTTCTTGATGTAATTTTAACATTCTCATGAAGCGTGCCATTGTGTTGAAGTTTCTCAACAATACTGACCCAGGCAGGATAAGGGATCCTGTAGATTATCAGGAGTAGGTGATTTAGTCATGGTCAAAACATATCCAAAAATCTGCCTTCAGGCCCATCTGTTCCTCACTCAACCGTGGTGCCTTCTAAATGAAGGTATATACTTAGAGATACATATTTCTACAAAACTAGAAGGAAGCCTTGGGATTTTGAGGTGTGCTGTGAAATTCTTCCTATTTATCTTTTGTGTTTGACTATCCATAGGGCTGTAAGCTTACTCAGAGGTCACATAGATGCGCCCAGGTACTGTAAGTCAACCACTGTGTTTGATCTCTGCCCTGTTCTTGTTCTGTGAAGTGAAGAAGGCCTCAGATGCATTTGGTTTGGTGAGGCTCAGAAACACTTGTATTTGTTACCTCTGTGTTAAAAAAAAAAAAAAAAAGCCTGTTTTGTGTGTCTGTTTCCTATAAGAATTGAGTTCTTTGCCTGCTGTTTTCAGACATCAAGCCTTATTTTAATGTGTTTTTCTAACTGTGTTCCCCACATGTGCTTAATCATCAAAATCGCCTGAAATACTGTGAGTTCTATGATCAGACAAGTTTAGGAAATAATTCTTAGCCTGATGTGTTAGATCTGTGTCTTGGAGTTTAATTGCTGAGTACTGTCAGGGACCCAGGCTCACAGCATGTTCCTGTAGGCACCTGGTGTCCGGCATTGCTCTTGGCAGTAAATGAACTGAAATACAAATAAGTTAGGATGCAAGCATTCACTTCCCAAGGATCCTTTCCCATATCAGGAGAGGCTCAGTAAGTGCTGTGAATTATAGTAATATTTATTCATTATTTCAACAATGATTTGAGTGCACGCTGTGTACCAGGCATTTGTGCTAGGTGCTGGGGACACACGGCTGAGAATGAGGCATTATTTAGAATGAACTAACATGTACTGAAGTGCTTATGGTGGGATGGATACCAAGCTAACTGCTTCACATACCTTTTCTGGTTATAACTTCACAACTGTCCAGTGAGGTGGGTATTGTCACCATCATTTTAAAATTAAGAAACTACTATTTTCAAAAGTTTGACTTGGCCAAGGTCACTGATCTCATAACAGGGAGAGTCAGAGTCCATACTAGACGTATATTCCTGTCTCTGTTCATCTTCTGCTTAGCACAATCTATGTATCTCCTCACTTCCTCTTTCTACTGCCATCACTCCATGATAGAATTGCCTGGTGAACTTTTAAAAAGCATCCTTGCCTGGGTTTTACCCCAAACAGATGAAAAAAGAATAGTCAGTGGGGCCCAGGCATGAGCATTTTTCAAAGCTCTCTGGATGATGCCCATGTGCAGTGATAGTTGAGAAGCATTTAGAGCATCGTTAATTGACCCCAAATACATACTGCTTCTGCCAGCCTTATGATTTCCAGCATTCTTCTTAGATCATTTGGCTGATTAAACAATTAATGCTTCCAAATCATTTTTCTTCCCTTTTAAACAGTTTAAAACAGAAATCTATCAAAATATAGCAAATGCTTTCATAATGCAAAATGTTCCTCAGTGAGGGACATGATAGAAGACCTCTTTAACTGGGAATTCAGAAACTTGAAGATCTATCTTCAGGGGGAAGTATAGGCAACAGTAAGTAATAAGGAATGACCTGGGGTCTAGAGCACCCATGAACTCCTGGATCTCCCTTTTCCTGGTGTGACTCTGAGATGCTGAAATCTTTTAATCTAATGGGAAAAGAAAACCTTGGGACAGATGGTAGTTGTTGAAAATTTCCGTCATCCCTGGTGAACACAGGTCATAAATCAACTTATATATTTTTTCCAAATCCAAGTCAAAGTAAAATAAAAGCTAAATAGTTAGAAGCTTACTAATTTGGATGCCTTAAGATATGTACTTTATACTAAAGATTATTTTGAATGCTCAAAGAAAAAAGAATACATTAAAAGGTAGAAGAATAGGCATTTACATTTCTTCAAGCTGTTTGACAACTTTACTCAAACAATGCATGCATATATACTTATATAAACTTTTAAGAATTCTGCATTTCTTGCTGTCAATACTTTGTTAAACATCTATTACGTGGTCAGTAATATCTTGCCTTTTAAAGATAGCAGTCTAATTAATCATCGACTCTTTACTAATTAAATCTGTTTTTATCTTGTGTTTAATCAGTGAGTTGTGACTGATCCCTATGACAGGTTCTTCTCAAAGCATCTGTATCAAAAATTAAGAGCAAATGGTTAGTTGGAGTAATCACAATATTGTGGTTTATACAATTGGTAGAAAGAAAAAGATCAGGAAAGTAAATTATGTGTGTGTTGGGGGGGCGTGATCACTGTATTTCAACAAGTTTGAGGCACTTTTATGAGAAGAAAAAAAATCAAGGCTACCAGGGGAGGGAAAACTTTTTAAACCATTAGGTCTTTAGAGAAAGAAAGAACAATGACTTCTACCTCACTGTCATAGTGATTGAAGGTGAGTATTATCTTTGCATTTTACAAGTCAGACATCAATACTGATAGGACAGTTGGGTCATAAATTTCCATTAGGGTCAAGAATCATTTTATGGCTATTACTAGAACAGATCATTACCAAAAGAGTAAACTGAGAAAAAAAAAAAAAGAACAAGAAAGAAAAATAAAAACATGAAAAATGGCCTCCTTTTTTACATTTCCACATAGGTGATCTCCATACGAGGAGATGAACTTGAACTTGGTTGGGCGGGAGACGAACCTGGTTGGGCGGGAGACTGGAGCCCCTCAGAGAATTTGGGATTCTTCCATTTTTACTGGGAGGGTTGGCAGGTATAACATGTGTTGTTATGTGAGTCCATGAGAGCCTCTGGGGTTCTTACTCCCTTCCTCTCCGTGTGGTGGAGAGTCAGTCGCTTACTCTAAAGCACTCGACTGATTTCTGTCTGTGGCTTACCCATGAACAGTGGCTTGGAAGTGTGAAAGCATGAGAAGCATGCAGTGGAACAGCATGCGCTGCCGTCATCTTCTACTTGGTTCTGCATGGGAAAGCCCCCGGGCTGGCTGCCTCTGAGCTCAGGTGTTTCTCTCTTTCCCTGCAGAACTCCCTGAAGGCTTCAAATCGAAAGAAGAAGAGAACAAGCTTTAAAAGAAAAGCCAGTAAAAGAGGGATGGAAGTGAGTGTGTCAGAGTTTTATTCTGAGGAATTTCCACTTTCTTTCCGTAGCCTCCTTTGTCCTGTGAGATCTGGTCCAAGCTGATTTTTCTGACCTGTCTTCTACCACTGCTTTCTCCTCACTGCACTCTAACTACAATAGAATTCTTCCTGTTCTTTTAAAAAACAAACACACAAAACCAACCTCTGTGTTTGCCTGGAAATGTCATCCCCAAGATGCTTATGATGAAGATGAAAGCTAGTATTTCTGGAATATTTGGAGTTTACAGAGTAAAATAGAAAGCCTGTCTTAATTCTCTGGAGCAAATGATAACTTGAGATATTTTCTTCCAAGCCTGATGTGGAAGTTGTGTTAAGAGTCAGTCCTGTGAAACAAAATGTAGGGTTTATTGGGGTGGTGGTGGTTTTCCACTTCCTTTCTCCTACCAGTACTGCTTGCTTCTTTCAGCAGGAAAACAAAGGTCGTCCTTTTGTGATAAAACCCATCTCTTCTCCTCTCATGAAACCCTTGCTTGTATTTGTGAATCCCAAGAGTGGAGGCAACCAGGTGAGTAATTTTTCATAATTTTTAACTTAGCAGTTTTGATAATTTCTTGAAGACACAACTCTCAGTGCCAATGAAAATAATACCACTAGGCTCCCAAGCTTTGGAAGACATCCAGTTTCTCAGGAACAAGTTTATTGCTTCTCTGATAGCCTTACACATTACAGTGCTAGGTAAAACCTAGACGTTCTATAATTTGTCTGCCTGCTCCCATGTAAGACTATAACAGAGGTGCTTAAGAAACCTAACTACTGACTTTTTCCTTACAGATTTTCAAGAAAGGCTATTCCAGAATTTCTCTTAGTTCATATGTTTCAGGATTCCTCAATTCTTGTAGTTAGGAGGCCGTTTATCAACTTATTTTTATTCTTTCTATTGCAATTTAGATACAGTCACTTTCATCCCTATCCTCAGAGAAGAGAAAAGGATGATTCATGAGTCATGATAATTATTAGCAAATACCACCAACACTATAGAAAATATCCACTTCTTCAGGTTTCATTTGGTCCTAGCCCAAATCTGATAGCACAGATATTTATATCATTTGAGAATAAAGAAGTAGACTTAGAAAAATTAAGTCTAAAGGCATGCCTAAAGTGGCACTGCTCTTTAAAGGACAGAATTTGTTCTTGATTTCTGGTCTTTGTCACTTCATCCAATTCTCTTCTTACTCTCTGAGGCTTCTTATCAATACTTTTCTATTGTCTTTAATTTTCTGTTATTTTCTTCTGAGTAGGGATGAGAAAATATTTTCCTTATCCACTATATGTATTTTACATTTCGAGACAAGATTCCTGCAAGTTTTTTTTTTTTTTTTTTTTTGAGACGGAGTTTCACTCTTGTTACCCAGGCTGGAGTGCAATGGCAGGATCTCGGCTCACCGCAACCTCCGCCTCCTGGGTTCAGGCAATTCTCCTGCCTCAGCCTCCTGAGTAGCTGGGATTACAGGCACGCGCCACCATGCCCAGCTAATGTTTTTTGTATTTTTAGTAGAGACGGGGTTTCACCATGTTGACCAGGATGGTCTCAATCTCTTGACCTCGTGATCCACCCGCCTCGGCCTCCCAAAGTGCTGGGATTACAGGTTTGAGCCACCGCGCCCGGCCTCCTGCAAGTTTTATGATAAACAACTGGAGATTTGAAACCCTTTAGTCATCCCATAGAAGCAAAGGAAGTTGTATAATTAGGATTGATCCAATGGTCCAAGATGATCTTCTTATTACTAACCCTTGAAATGAAGTTTGGTTTTCCCTGAACCATACCCACTCTCTTGGACTAGTATCCCTATGGTCTATCAAAGGTTAGAGATACAGTTGGAAACCATGGAACATGGATATGTAATTGGTTCTATGATTTTGGCCACCTGAGCATCACATATCAAGTATATTTTATCATGACAGTCCACATATAAAATACATATGTTAAATCATTATAAGCGCTCTTTCCTAGGGCACATAGAGCTTGTAAGTTATCTGTTTCTTCTTTTCTTTCTTTTCTTTTCTTTTCTCTTCTTTTCTTTTCTTTCTCTTTCTTTCTTTCTTTCTCTTTCTTTCTTTCTTTCTTTCTTTCTTTCTTTCTTTCTTTCTTTCTTTCTCTCTTTCTTTCTTTCCTTTTCTTTCTCTTCCTTTTCTTTTCTCTCTTTCTTTCTTTCCCTTTCTTTCTTTCTTTTTCTTTCTTTCTTGCTTTCTTTTCCCTTCCTTTTCTTTTCTTTCTTCTTTTTTTTTCTGGAGGTGGAGTCTCGCTCTGCTGCCCAGGCTGGAGTGAAGTGGCATGATCTCAGTTCACTGCAACTTCTGCCTCCGGGGTTCAAGCAATTCTCCTGCGTCGACCTCCTGAGTAGCTGGGACTATAGGCATACACGGCCATCCTCATGTGATTTTTTGTGTATTTATACTATTGTATAATAGTAGAGAGGAGGGTTCACCGTGTTGCCTAGGCTAGACTCGAACTCCTGACCTCATGATCAGCCAGTTTCAGACTCCCAAAGGGCTGGGATTACAGGTATGAGCCACCATGCCTGGCCAGTTATCTATTTCTTTAAGGAGCTGATGATCCAGTTAAGACATAGCCTTCCTATTCCAGTCTCCGTATAAATTATTAATGACAGGGACTTCAGAGATTATCTAATATTGCTTCCTATTTCACTAAATAGAAAAGAGGTCAAGGAAGCTTAAAATGAATTTTCTAAAGACATCTTGTTTTTTAATGACACAAAAGGAACAAATGGAAGATAACTTAAGCAACATTAACTGCATGTGACTTCTAAATTGAGTGGCTCAGACTGCAAGTGTTAATGGAATTTCAGAAGTAAGCGGTGACTTGGTAGTGATAAGGGAGTGGCGTCATGGACATGGCTGAAAACAAAGATGGGTACTACTTAGTTACGTAGAAGAGAGAAGACTGGAAGGACTGTCCTTTTCTCACTCTTTACTGTGGCAGATTCCTGTTCATCCTTCAAGACTCAGTAGCACCTTTCTGAACCATTTCTCAAGATCAATCATCCCGTCCACTATGCCCGGATAGCCCTTGGTACACATTTGCATGATATGAACTACAGCATAACAGCTCTATGTGCATCTTCACTGTTAGGATATAGGTCCACCATTAAATCTGTGATTTCTAGAACATAGCACATAGTTAAATAATTGTAAAATATGATTAGAAGAACAGATGCCATGATGCTGATTATTCATTGTGAGGACAATATGATGAGTGGTGCATGCATATTAAATTATTGGAAATGTGATTACATAAAGATCAGAATGATCCTATGGAATCATGTCGTCAAAAAACAGGATATTTAAGATTGAAGACTTTGGATTTATGCAATGGAAACTAGTCTTTTTTTTTTTTTTTTTTTTCTGTTTAAAATATTTTAGTTTTGCCGGGCATGGTGGCTCACGCCTGTAATCCCCTAGCACTTAGGGAGGCTGAGGCAGGCAGATCATGAGGTCAGGAGTTCGAGACCAGTCTGGCCAACATTGTAAGACCCCATCTGTACTAAAAAAATACAAAAAATTAGCTGGGCGTGGTGGTGGGCACCTGTAATCCCAGGTACTCAGGAGGCTGAAGCAGGAGAATTTCTGGAACCTGGGAGACGGAGGTTGCAATGAGTCAAGATGCTGCCATTGCACTCCAACCCAGGTGACAGTGCGAGACTCCGTCTCTCTCTCTTTATATATATATATATATATACACACACACACACACACATATATACTATGTATACATAGTATATATAGGTACACACATATATATACTATATATGTGTATATATACTATACATATATAGTATATATGTATACATATATAGTATTTAGATGTATACATATATGTAGTATATATGTACATATATATGTACCTATATATATGTGTGTATATATATATATTTTAAAAAATAATCTTTTGGTTTTTGAACAGAGGAGTAATATGGTGGAATCCAATGTGCATATGATTCATTTGGGAATCCCGTTAAAATGCAGATTCTCTTCAGTAAGTCGGGGTGGGCCCTAAGTTGCTGCATTAGTAACAAGCTCGCAGGTACTGATATTGCTGCTCAGAGAACCATACTGGTTAGCAAGGGCTTACTGTGTTCAATAGAAAAATATATATTTTTGGTCAATCCTGAGTTTTGCCTTTTAATAATTTACTTATTCCACTCACCTACTTTTCGATATAAAACATTCCTGTCCCTTTCCCTCTTTGAAACTTAGGCTTTAGACGTTTTCCCGTTTTTAAACTTGCTTAGTTTTCTATTTTTCGTGTAAATTACTGGACAGTAGTGCCACCTACTGGCAAGAAAAATAGCTTTTTTTTCTTCGTATGATATTTTACTTGTGTAAGGAAAACATTTTGAAGGAATGCATTGGGATGAACAGATACAGGGACTGCCTCTATGTCTTTCTTTTAAAAAATCCAATATTTTAAAACTCTGATTTTTTTTTCTAAATTGATACATTATTTTTGTACATGCATGTGGAGTACATATGCTATTTCAATATGTTTATGACATCTGTAATGATCAAGTCATGGTGTTTAACACATTGATCACCCCAAACATTTATCATTTCTTTGGGTTGAAAATATTTCAGATCTTCTAGCTATTTGGAAATGGGCAATATACTGTTAACTTATTGTGTCACCTTATTGTGCAAGCACTAGAACCCATTTCTTCTATCAAATTGTATGTTTATACTCACTCTCCAACCTCTGTTCATCCTCTGCCCCCACCACACCCGTCCCAGCCTCTGGTAACTATCATTCTGCTCTCTATCTCTGTCAGATCCACTTTTTAAGCTCCTCTACGTATGAGTGAGAACAGGTCAGTTTTTGTCTTTCTGCACCAGGTTTATTTCACTTAACATAACGACCTCCTGTTCTATCTTTGCTACTGCAAATGACAGGATTTCATTCTTTTTCATGGTCAAATAGTATTTTATTGTGCATATACACCACATTTTGTTTTATCCACTCATCTGATGAACTCCTAGTTTGTTAAATCTCTTCTTTTAAACTTCACAGTAATTGTCTCTTTGTTTTTCCAACACTCTTAAGGTAGAGATGACACTGGGTGTTTTGCAAAACTGTGGAGCTTGGCAGCGCTGCTGCTGTCATATTATTGAGATCCAAATTATTTGAGGAATCAGGGACCAAAATTTCAACCTTTTTGTTTTTGAGACAGTCTTGCTATGTTGCCCAGGCTGGAGTGCAGCAGCATGATCTCAGTTCACTGCAACCTGCACCTCCCGGGTTCAAGCAATTCTCTTGTCTCAGCCTCCCAAGTAGCTGGGATTATAGGCATGTGCCACCACACCAGGCTCGTTTTTGTATTTTTAGTAGAGATGGGGTTTCACCATGTTAGCCAGGCTGGTCTCAAGTGCCTGACCTCAGGTGATCCGCCTGCCTCGGCCTTCCAAAGTGCTGGGATTGCAGGCGTAGGCCACTGTGCCTGCCCAGCCCAAAATTTCAACTCTGAATACCTCTTTCTGTGGAAAGAGATAGTA